TGCTCCAGACACTTCTTGGGTCTCTGCAGACAGCAGGGCATGAGGAGACAAGTGCTGAGTAGTTTTGGGGTGAAGCAGCTTTCAAGTCCCTGCCCTGGACTGAACAAATGGCAACATGCTCTTGGCGGTTGGGAAACCCAAAGGGAGAACTGTGGAAGGAAGAGGGGTGCTTCTGTGACAATACGTCCCACCTGCTCACATATGCGTGCCAAGGAAGGCACCCATGTGTACATGTCTCTGCACTCCATCCAGGCTTCCCGCAGCCTTCCCGCCAGCGGCACAGCACAGGCTGATGGAAACCTCTCCAAAGGGCTGTGTCTGTGGAGAGGACGTTCTTGGGGCCCTTGAGGGCTTCATCCAAGTCATTTGGCCACACTTCTCCAGCAGCTATGCCTGACACCCAGGACTGGGCTGGTCCCTCCTTCCCTCCTGTCCACAGCTACAAAACTGGCAGAGATGAATATCCCCCTTCACGGCCAAAGCAGGTGACCTCAAGTCACCCTGTGGAACAGAGGACACCCAGCAAACGTACTGAAACCACTAGATCTGCCCAAACCTGACCTGGTGCAAGCCCTGTCCCCAGCCAGGCTGGTGATGTCTGCTGAGCACAGCATCCCCTGTGCACCTCTCAGGGAGGGGGAGCCAAGCAGCCAGATGCAGCTGCAGCCCCTCAGGAAAAGCCTCCTCCAAAGCTGCGCCCACTCAGAGCATTCCCACCCTGGCCATTGTTTTGGGAATGGCTGGAAAATGTCAGCAGGGCTCTGGGTGCGGGTGGGGGGTCAGGAAAAAGGAAAAGATGATGATTAGATTTTTTTTTTAAATCAGCCAATAAATTATATTAACTTTTCCATTGACCTTTTGTCGGGTCACATTATCAGACTGGTGAATATGGTTCATGAAGATAGTATTATGCTCAGATTTCAAACTGTGCAGAAAGTGCATCCCAAGCAATATGCCAAAATGGAAACATTGGCTCCGCTGGAGGGGTGTGCTGCTCATTACCCTCCTGAGGAAGGCCAGATCCAGTCCCTACAAATATTTTATATATATATTATAATTTCCGAGGGAGGCTGGGGATTTCATAAGGTCTGGCTTTGTAAATGGTGCCATTTACTGCTTTCTTCTTGAGATTATGGTGGCATTGGAGCTGCCTGCAGGGGGACCAGCTTGCAGCAGGAAGCAGATATCGCCTTCCTGCCCGTGCTTGGCCAACAAGCCATCGTGCTGACTGCTGGGAACGGGCAACTTTCCTCGGCCAGGGCATGAACACTGGCCTCACACCATGATGCCACATTTAGGACACGATAAAGTTCAAAGCACAGGAGGGAAGAGGGTGTGAGGGTGCACCTGCATGCACTGGGTGCCTGCAAGGGTAAAGGGGAGCACTGATGATCCTGGCAGCCCTTGCCTCAGGCAGGTTTACCAGGTGTTGGCAGGACTGCAGCATTGTGCCGCATCATATCAGCTCCGTATCATGAAGCCAGCGGCAACAGCTCCTTCTGCAGCCATGGCACCTTCCAGGAGTGCCAGCAGGGAGCAGGGAGCGTGCCAGCCCATGGGAGCCAGCATGACCCTGCTGACCCTGGGGATGTCCTGGTTCTCAGGTCTCAGAGAGCCACTTTACCCTTTTGGACTGTGGGCCCGGCCCAGACAGAGGCCTCCTCTCACCCCCTGCCAGCCCAGCAAGGACAAAATTAGCCTCCCCTGCCTGTGTGCCGGGTAGAAGAGCCACAATTGTATCTCAGGAAAGCATTATTGTACTCCACTAGCCCTATCTTATCAGGGAAAGGAAAATGGGACTTTGACAAATTGCCTCTGTCACAGCCGGGGTAAGCACATGATTTTCAGTAATCGCCCACCCTGGCTGCAGCACTGCCATGGCCACTATTGTTCCCGGCCCGGTGCTGCGCCATGTGGGGTCTGGGCAGCCGCGACCCTCCTGAAGGTGACAGCGCACACAGGGCCTCGGCCACGCTGGCTTTGGCTGCACCCTGTACATTGTGTTTGCAGGTGGGGATCCAGTTGAAGTTAGATTGATCCCTTTATCAGGAGCCTTCAAGTGCTGATAAGGTGACATCACCCCGGAGCAGAGCGGGGACTTGAACTCTTTTGCAGGGGGAGATGGTTATCAGGGGCTCTTGGCAGGGCTGAGCTCGCTCTTCAGCCCTGCAGCTGGAAGCAGAGCCACCCTCTGAGCCTCTGACACGATAGGAAGGATTTGTTTTGCTTTGCACAATGGCTGCTCAGATCCTGTCCAACAGTGGTGCCGAGAGCAGTGAAGGACACTTCAAAGGCACTCAGCTTCACACTGCCATGGCACAGGGATCCAGCGTGGCCAGTGGCCATCCTGCCCCTGGCACACTCAGCCTGACCCCAGGGGCAGCTCAGTCCCTGAAACACCAGCTGCAACAAGAGGCACGTGGTTCCCAGTCCCAAGGCAAAGAGGATCATCACCTGAAGAGTTTATGTCATCTCACCTGGAAGCCCAAGAGCATCCCACAAGCCCATCTCTCCCTGCTGGGAGGAGAGCTGGTCATTCCTGCCTTCTCTCCGCTCCTTGCTGCTGCAAGGCCACCTGGGGACCATCCCCAGCAGGGCCGGGAGGGCTGAGAGAACCTCCTGATTGGGTCCAGATACCCCACAAACCACATCCCCTGGCAGAGCAGGGAGCAGCAGCTGCTTGGCTCACCTCTGCCACAAGCCACAGGGCAGAAGACCCAAAAGACAGTTGTGATGGCTACTGGGACAGCCAGCACAAGCCCACAATGATGTCCCATGGGGGACGCCTGTCCAGTCTGCTCAGTTCACCTGCCTCGAGGGGTAACAGCACAGGGGCCATGCTGGGAGCATACAGCAAACCTCATTGCTTTGTAACGCGTAGCTGCAGCAGGTCTGGCCTGGCAGCAGTGCTGAGAACACTCGGGGACTCTCTGCATTGGGAAAACCTCTTCACCCTGACACGTGTGACTGGTTGTTGGTGGTGTGATCCCTATCAGAGGTGCTGGTGCCAGTGGTAGCTCCCCAAATACCCCAGCAGAAGCACCCAGTGAGGACTACAGGGAGCAGGCATAGAGGGAACAGCAAACTGCGCTGCACAGATGTTACAGGGCTTTGTGCCCATTTTTACTCTGCTGCCAGGTCCTGCTTCCCAAGGCAGGATGAAGGTGCCTCAAGCTCACAACCGTCCGATCAAAGATGCTGCTGTCCCAATTCCTGCACGTCTCCCCATGCCTACATCTCAGCCCTCCCCTTTCCAGAGCTGGGCCATCAGTGTAAAACTAAAGGGGCAAAAAAACAGGTGGACTGAATACAAGATCTGAAAGGGCTGAGACCACTGATCTCCCCTTGCTGCACCCCAGGGCAGAGAGCAAGTGCAGCCACCATGGAGCTGCAAACCACAGTAATGTGTGATGTGCCCAAGCCCCAGCACCTTCCAGTGCAGCTCCTCTTTTTGCTCGGGTCCCTGAAGCCTGAAACTTCCCTATCCACAGCCTAAGCAAATACCATCACACCCTGTGCAGCTCCCATCACTGGACCCCCCATGAGAAGAAAGCAGGCGCTGCCCAGCCGGGCACAGCACCAGTCCCACTGTTGTCTGAAGTTCAACTGTTCATGACGGGACAGCAGAGCAGCCCTTGGGGCAGACCAGAGGCTCACGTTTGGGACCAAAGCAGATCAGGGCAGCCCAGGTGACCTCCTGCAACCCACCCTGCCGCTCCCAGCAGCCACAGCCCGGGGGCTTCCTGAGCCAGAGGGGCAGCCCTGGCCTGCCTCCCTGAACTCCTCTCATCATTCATCCAAGTGTCACTACCCAAAATAGCCCATAATTATTTCCGCAGTTAATCTGGGCCTTCTGTGAGCCTGCAGGCTATAAGCTGAGTTTGTCTCTGGCCAGCTTCATTTCAGACCTCCCTGTCCCTGTACTCTGAGACACAGCAGAAGCACTCATTCTTTCTTTTCCTCTGCTGTCCTGATGGTACCCACCCCATCACAGCCCTCTTTGGGACATGACACCTCTTCAGAGACTCACCTCCATCTTACTCAAATGCCATCCATGCCCCTCGTTCCTTGTGGCCTGCATAGCTCCAGGCACTTTGGGGAATGCCCAGCACAGTACACACACCGACAGGGCAGATTCACTTGCAGCCCTTGCCCTAGCAGCTCCCAGACAGCACTGTGGTCCCATGACCAGCCTCCTCCCTGTCCCTGACCCCACCACTCTGCCATGCAATACAGCCTGTCACTCTGTCCACCAGCCACTTAGCAGTGTTAGACCCTTTCAACACATTCCACCACCAGCTTTGTGATGTTCATACACTCATCCACTAGCAAACATTGTGGCCTCCCCTTCCTCAGCTCTTCCAGAGCATTTAAAGTAAGATTGTTTCTTGTCAGTGCATAAATGAAGGACACGGATGGTCCCATGGGATGGAACAGGAGCAGGCCAGGTTACCTGTTGCTTCAAGGCTCATTGCAAAGCATCGCAAACACTGCTGCCCGCTGCGCACCCGGGCGACAGCCACGCAGGCTGCCTGTGCCTCAGCAGTTCGGGAAATCCTGGCTCAGGCAGACATCCTCCTGCGCTTTAGAAAGCGGCTGAGGTGCCCACCCCACCGTCTGTAGCGGAGACTTTTGTTTCACTTCAGGTTATCTTATCGCCATAGGAAAGGCAATACAGCAGAAGAATTTCCTTTCCTTTATGTTTCCAGCCTTTCCATTGTCTGGCATCTGGATTTCTGAGCGTCGCCACTCCGCAATTCACTCAGGCCTTTGGAAACATGAATGCAGGCACTTATCAGCAGGAGCTCTGCAAAGGCTCCTTTTGCTGCTGCAGGCAAACCAGGCAGGGTCTGGGTGCCCCGGGGCTAAGCCTCAGCAGTTAAGGAGACAACAGGCATTTTCCAGTGCCAGAGGCAGGTGCCAGCTCAGCCATTCTCCTGGAGGGATGGCCACTTCAGGCACCATAGCTTGATGAGACTTGACCATGACAGACACCGTGGTCTCCCATTTCTTTCTTCCTTCCAGTTTATTTAGCTGAAGCAGAACCCAGAGGCCAGGGCAGGATATGTGCCATTGGGAAGGAGGGACAGCTACAAGCCACCAGCACCACAGAAAAGATTGTGGAAGACAGTGTCAGCCCAGGTCTATAGCAAAGGCTCTTCCCCTGATGTGCTCCTTGTAGGAGCCACCACCACCCATTCTAGGGCAAGAGCTAAGCTCCAGCTGCAGGGAGCAAGTTGTGCTCTCCACCACTCTCCTGTGCAGGAAGATCTTCTCTTCCCCTGTGCTCTGTAACAGAAAGGAGCAGGAGAGCAGCCAGGCAAGTCCCCATCCTGGATCCTCTTGCTCCAGCCGAGTGTCCAGGCCACCCAGGGCTTCCCCTCCAGCATCCTGGGGCTGGGGCAGCAGGGCACAGCACATGGGTTTGAAAGACACAGATGATGTTTGAGACAAACCAGTACTTCATGTGCAACAAATCCTTCACTGTGGGCTGCAGTGTCCTGGGGGAGCTGCAGCCTCACCCGTGCTAACATGGCCCAATGCACTTGAACGTGCCCAAACTAGTTGCTCACTCCTGACCTTTCAATGGGTTCCTATGTTTCTTCAGCTTCTTCTGGTCTACACCCAATACATTGAGTCACAAAATCATCCCAGGGCAAGAAATTCACCTCCACAATGCAGGAACTGGCAGCACTCTCCTTTCCAGCAGCCAGCACCTGCCAGGCAGACCACAAGCAATGGGTCAGTCCTCCAAATGTAGCACTTAAGACATATATAACCTTCCAGGTAGGTTTCTGTCTTGCTGGTCCCTGGGTTGCAGTGCTAGTTCAACAGGCCAGGAAGCATGGCAGCCACCAGCAGGAAGGCACAGTGGGGACTGTCCCTCTCTCCTGCCTCACTGGGCAGTTCAGCACGCTTGGATTCCAGAGTCTGCAGACCATGACTGGGAAGGGCTTGTAACCCCAGTGCTGGGGAAAACACCACCCCAACCAAAAGAGGAGACTGCTGGGTTTAAACCCAGCCATGAGGCTGCACCTCTCCCACAGCCCCAATTCCAGGGAGTGCAGCCAAAAGTGGCATGGAAGGGGGATCTCCACACCCTTTTGCAGCAGGACAAGGGTGAAAGGACATGCTGGAAGCTGTCACTCCTCCACCCAGGCAGTGCTCTGGGCACAGCATGGCATGGCAGCCTCTGATGGCACCCCAGAGCTTATCACCTCTCCCAGGCCCAGGAGAGCCCTGAGGAATCAATCACCTTCTGCTGTTTACTGCTTGCTCAGACGGGAGGATGGGTGCTCGGGGCATCTTGAAGGGGTTGCAGGTTGTGCGAAGGTGCCTGGGCACAGCACAGAGCAAGGCTGAGCAGCAAGGCTGGGCTGGCTCCACTGCACCATCACGTCTTCAAAGTCCCACTGTGAAGAGAAAGGAGCAAGCAGTGCCACAGTTGGGTGCAAGGGAGCCCCAGGCAGCACTGCTCCCTGAGGCAGCAGGCACAGGATCTGCACCACCTCTTTCCAGAAAGGGGAACTGGTTACGTCTGAAACTAGAATGCATCTAGTTCTCTCTTTCACCGCGACAACGCAAGCAAAACTCAAAGCAGAACAATGCTGGTTTCCATTTTTCTCATGTGTTTCCCTCCCTGCCCAGGCAACATGAGGAGATTGCTCAGGCACACATGGAGCAGTGGCTGAGTGACACGTGGAGTGTATCAAGAGAGAGAGAGAATCCGTTTTCCCTGGGACCCACACAGCAACAGCTCCTGAGCATCCCCCTGCACTGCCATGAGCACAGCCAGTTCTGAGAGCCACCGAGCAGAGACAGCTCATGTTAAAAACCTTGTGAAGCCTCAAATGAAGCTTGGGCAGGCTCACCAGTGCCAGCCAACACAAAGGGGCTCTGCAGAGGCTTCCAGCTTCCCTTTGCTCTGTGGAGGCAGAAAAAGCCTGGCTAGACTGCAGGAACTTCCCATCAGGGAGACAACGATGTTTCTGTTTCTTTGCCTCAACTGCGGGGCCCGGGATTAGAGAGGGACACTGCCAGGAGGGCAAACACAAGTCTGCTCCACCCAGCAAGTGCAGCCCTCCCGCCCAGACACCACTCATGGGACAGACCCTTTTCCCACAGATGCAGCAATAAAAAACACTAGGGCAGAGTTCCTCTGAGTCAGGAGCAGTTTCTTTTCCTCTTGTCCTCACCACGACCTCTCTTCATGTCCCAAGAGGTTTTGGGTACCTCAAGCATTTAGCCCTGGAGGGATTGTACTCTGAGGCACCCTGGGCACGCAGCTGCTCCCTGCGTCTTTCCCAACAGCCCAGTGGTATTTTTCCCCAATATTTTTGCTGCAAAAAGGAAAAAAAACAAACAAACCAACCAACCCACACCTCAAGAAAAAAGCTGGACTAGAGCCACCACGCAGCAGGGGTAGAGCACAGAGCTGCTCCTCACAGATATGTGGGGTAGAGGAACATGCTGGGGCTGGGCAAGTCCATAAAGCTCACAAGAACAGGAAAGGAGGTGTGAGCAGAAGGGGGGGGAGGCAAACTGCTTCTTACTTTAAAGCAACAGTTTCAGGATAATCAGGATAATTAGGAAAGAGCTGCTTAACTTCGGTAGAAACAGCCTGAGAGGGCCTGGATGCAGCTCCTCGCTTGCCAGGGCAAGAGCCGCTTTTCCCACTACGGCTCTCTTGACCATCTTGTGCGCAGGCTGGCTGGAAACGGTGAGATCGTGTGGCAGCCTGCAGGGGTGCATGTGGGGGGAGGCCCTGGGGACCTGCACCTCTGCTGGGATCCCTGACTGGAACAGGACCCAAACCTGCTGAGCTGGGGACGCCTGCCTGCAGCCAGGGCTGATCCCCCTCTGCCTTGGAAAGGCCGGCCCCTAATGGCAGGAGAGAAGGATTTCAGCCTCCTCCAGAGAAGTAACGAAGTATTTTTGGACCAGGCAGTGACTGCAGAAAGCTGACGAGATATATAAGTGGCAGCCCCATGCAGGTGCAAAGGTCATCATCTCACACATAGTTGAGCCAAGACATCACAAAAAGATCAGAGACACCTGACCCTGACAGCCACAGGGAGTAGTCTGCAGTAGGGTGACAGACAGGACTTTTTTGTGTACTGCTGGCTCTGCCAAGCTGAGGGAAGTGAAGTTCGTACCTCACCTGCCATGGACTGCAATGATAGAAGAGCCACAGCACCCCAGGGCAGAGCAGCTCGGGGATTGGCAGTCAGTGAGCACATCCTGGCATCCCACTCGCTTGCTCACCCACGATGCTTCCTTTTTCAGGGACAGAGTAAAAAACACTGCTCTCCCACAAAACAGACTCTGCAAAGCACGTTTTCTAGTAGATGGATGGCCTAGGCAGCAGCTCTGACATGCAACAGCAAGTCTTGTGTGTGAAGGACAGCCCCAGCCTTCTGGGCCTCCAGGTCAGTACTGGTGCCAGCGTTGCACCAGGGTGACCTGCACTGAAACTCTCTTGCAGCCAACAGCAGCAGCCTGAGTAGAAAAAGTCCTTAGAAGAAACTAAGCAAGACTACCAAGGAGGTAGCAGGCAAGCTCTGGAAGGGTACAAGTCTTGCCCCTCTCCTGATTAATAAAACTCTGCTAACTAGTAGACACACAAAAAAAGAAAAAGTCCAATATAACACCACTGAGAGGAGCCCTGTGAAATCCCCTCACTTCACAGCAGCTTCTCTGCAGGACCATGTCAACTACAGCTGAGAGTAAAATGACCTTTGAGTGAGCCTGGGACAGCCTGGAGCTCATCCTGGCTCCAGCCTTTTCAGGAGCAGCAATGGATGGGGACGCCCCAGGCGGGCAGGCAAGGCTGAGAGCAGGGCTGGCACACTTGTGCAAGGGGATGCAGAGATGCTGTGGCGGTCACCCACACCTTGGCAGAACAAGCGAGTCTCCACACTCTTTTTTTGAACTCTGCTCTGCAGAGCAGCCTGTGTGCCTCAGCAGTATCCCGGGCATTGCTCTGGGATGGATCTGTCTGAACAGGGCTCTAGACCCATCTCTGGAACCAGGGCTGTCACCTTATGGGGTAGATGCCTTAATGTACATGCTGCAGCAGGGCAGAGCCCCAAAGGAAAAGGCACTGACCTCGAGCTCTGAGTTGATGGAGGTAGCATCAGAGGAGCTGGGTGAGGAGAGCCCAGAGTGCAGGGCTGGGAGTGGGGGGCAGGTCAGGGGCTGTGGCGGCACAGGGCCTGCTGCACCCATCTGTGCCTCCCCGGGCAGCCTTGCCATGCCGTGGCCAGTCTGGTAGGCAACAGAAAGCAAGAGGAGGACATCAAAGGGAGACATCACTGGGGACAGCACCAAAACCCAGCAGTCTCAGTATGTACACAGCACCTCGGGACTCACATTGCAACAGCATCTGCAAGCTGCTGGCCTCTCCCTGCCGTACAAGACAGCAAGGCAGATGCATCCACTCCCCCAAATCTGGGCATACACCCCAAATCCATCTGCAGAGAGCTCATTCTCTGCCAGAGGTGCAAGAGCATTCCTGACCCCATAGATCCTGCCCCACCCCCGGGGGGTGCACTGAGGCCTGGCACTCTCACCTGCTGCACCAGCCTGATCATCAGGTCTAAGCAGTGGCTGGCTGCCACCATCCTGGGTGCAGACCTAGGCTTTGGAAACATGTTGAGCGGGGCCCACTTTGCAGCCTGCAAAGGAGAGTGTGACACATCAGCTACAACCAGGAGAGCTGCACCCATGCCACAGCCTGCATCCAGGGGCACAGCTCCCATCCCCATCCAACAGCAGTACCGCTCCAGCCACACCACGAACTGGGGACCTGGGTGGGTGAAGGGTAGTGCTGAGCTGACACATCTGGGTCCTTTTGCCAGATCCTCCCCACCAGCCTCCCCCCTTGCAACAACCACTGGGGCTGAGGGAGCATCTAGGAGCTGCACACCAGTGCCAAGCTGCTGCCAGGGAATTGCATGTGGCCCTGTGGCGAGGGTGATTTTCCCAGTGCCAGCCATGCCCTGCAGCATGCTGATGCTCCGTGCCCCTCCTCCATGGGGCCCCGGCCCCCAGCATCCCTCCACCCTACCCTGGGGAGACAGAGCAGTAACACTGCTGAGCAGGGCAGCTCTCCTTTATGCCCTTCAATCAGATAGAAAAAAAACCTCTTCTTCCTCTGCTCTTCTGTCATCTTCCTCTCTCTCTCCAGCCAAAAGGGCCCAGGCATCAGGGACCTCTGGTACAAGCTGCTGGCCCATCTGGCTCTTGGCCATGCAGGTGACAAACAGGAGCTGAACCCCCATTAAGGGTATTTCTGGAGTGACAGCGGCCCCCTGCCCATGCCAGTCCCACAGCCCAGGCACCATCCACCTCCATGTCCCAGCCGAGAATCCCGGGAGAGAAGCTGAGAAAGGATACAGCCATGTCCAGTGCAGCTGAGCCCAGGGCGATCAGGAGCCAGGGCAGGGCCCTCAGGATGTGCCCAGGCTGCTGGTCACGGGCGACAATCGCTGCTGCGTAGAGGACGCCGGCTGTGGCCGAGCAGAGGGTGGCCCACAGCCACCTCCGTGTACACGGCTTCCCCCTGCACTGAGCAGCCCAGAGCCTGTTTTGAAGCCATAGACCCCGTCCCCAGCTGGGGACACCACCACAGCCAGCATGGGGACCTTGCACCCTGCTGGGAAGGGGGCTGCTGTGCCAAACCCTGCAGCTGCCCTGAGGGCTGAACAGCCAGGAGGGGCTGTGAAGGGGGCACGGGCACCCCGCATCCCCCCCACGGCTTTTGCAAGGGGTTGCAGGAGTCACCATCATGGTTGAGAAGCCCTGCCTGGGACTGGGGGGCATAAAGGCAGCCATACCATACAGATACTTACTGCTCTGGAGAGTGTGGGGGTCCTGACTATGAGGGCAAGGAGGGCAGAGAGCAGTCCCAGGACAAAGCCCAGGGCTTCCCTGTTGTCCTAAGGGAGGGAGAAGAAACAGGGGAGGCAAAGGAACACCTCCATCCCAGCCTGCCCAGAGAAGGGGTCTGGAGAGGACCCAGCACCCATCTCCCGGCAGAAGCCCTGTCCACACCACCCCAGTCAGCTGCTCCAGACCCCCCTGATGATCCCAAGGACTTCATTCCACTCCTGCCAGCCCAGAAGTGCTGCAATGTGGAGGGGCTGCCTCTCCCAGCCCCCACCCCCTGAGCTGCAGTGCCTGGGGTGGGTCTTGGGGGACCAAAGAGCACCCCTGGATGAGCCTTGGCACCCCAGGGAAACAAAGCTCTGGGAAGTGAAGACACCAGCTTGGGCAGTGCCAGGGTGGCAAAGGGGAAAATCCAATCAAAGCAAACCCACCGGTGCTGAGCCTGGCAGCTGCCTGTGCTCACCCAGGCTCTGCCTGCTGCCCACCCAGCCCTGGGGGAACGATGAGGGGGCAGCTCACCTCGAACACGGCCCCAAGCAGCCTCCGCTGGGCTCCCCTGAGCCGCTCCCGGGACAGCCGGGGTCCAGGCACCAGCAGAGACCTGCCAGCACCCAGGGACAGGGGCAGGGTGAGGGCGAGCAGACCATCCCGCAGCTGCTGCCTCCTCCGCCGGCAGAGGGGCAGACCTGCGTGGGACACAGGCTCACTTTCAGGGCATCATCCTCAGGTCAGATTTTGCCCCATCCTGCCCTTGTGGGCTGCACTAGATCCCCCACAGCAGGGGCTACCCAGCCACCCCCTGCTCACCCAGGGCACCATGCCACTACCCCAGGTGCTGCTGTTCCCAAGGTGCCCATGCCAGGCTGCCCAGCAGGGGCAGAGTGCTCCCAAAGCCCTCAGCTCAGAGCAGGCTGCCACCAACCTGCACCCATGGCAAGGAGGGGTACCTCTGCACACACCTGCTAGCCTCTGGGACTCAGGCAAGCACAGGGGGAAGAGGGTAAGCAGGAAGCAGATGAGGTCAGTCACAGCCATGTAGGCACCTGTGAGGATCTGGAGAGAGACACGACAGCACAAGGAGGCTGAACCTCTCTGAAATGCAAAACCTCAGGGAGCAGCTCACAGGCCCCCATGCAAGGGGCTGCATTTGCCACACTGTCTTGAGCCAGGCTGCCAAAATTCATCCTCTCCAGGCCCAGCACCCCAGGGCAGGAGAGCAGCACCTCTGCCAGGCAGGTGTGGGTGCCACAGCCACAGCAGAGGCTGGGCAGGGTGAAGGGGGGTGTCCCCACCCCACCACACGGAGTTTGCCCACCTGGATGTTGAGCTGGCTGGCGAGCAGCGCTCCGACTGTGTTGCAGATGTGGCCCAGGAAGCTGTACAGGAGGCAAAGGATGGACGCCTGCTGCCGGCCCTGCCCCGGGCACCCGCAGGACAGCCTAAGGCAGAGGGACAGGCTGCTCCAGCCACGCTCGGCACTGCGGGATGTCAGAGCAGAGCAGCCCCACAGCCTCCCGCAGCCCAGCCCCAGGGAGTTACAGCAAACGGGAGGTGATCCAGCACAGTGCAGCCAGTGTCCAGAGCCCCCAGGACACGCAGACCAGCTCCCCAGCCAGGCAAGACGCTGGCCAGGCAGCAGAGCCACTGTGTCCCACGGGCAGCGTCCCCTGCATGGCTGGCTCCGAGCGTCTCTGGGCAGGGAGTGCCACCACAGGCTGCCAGCACTGCCCCGCAGGTGCAGCACCCAGCATCACCCTCCACCCACGGAACAGCACCCAGCAGCTCCCCTGGGGCAGAAAGCACCACATGCTGCTGGGAGCGGACTCCTGGTCAGACTGAGGCTCCCTAAACAGGGCAGAAGAGACCTGGAGAAGAATGGCAGCTCCAGCTTTTGCCCTGCAGGGAGGAGAATTGTAGTTCATGATGCAAGCACGAGGTATTGTAACAGGGAAGTTCAGCTTCAAACCATATCCCCAACTGGCTCTGTGTTTCTGCTGCAGGTAACAACAGCCAGGAAAACAACTGCCTGCACTACAAAGCAAAGTCTCCTAAAGGGGAGGCAGACCGCTGGGGAGCCGAAAGTGCTGCTGATCCCAGAAAACAGACTGGAGCTGGTCACACCCACACACTCCCCCTACACGCACAAGGCTCTTGAAGAAAACGGCACTCAAAAATGAAAACTTGCCTTCTGCAGAAGGCAACAGGAGCAGCCGAGAGGCTCATTCAGCAGGTGGCTAGGGCAAAGCACAATGTCTCCTTTGTGCAGGCTTCTGACAACAGAGCAGTCCCCACACTGCCTCACGCCTGCCAGCTGCTCCTGTGCGCTGTACCGAGTTGTCAACACGGCCCGGCCGGCATTCCCCAGCAAGGGTAGGGCAGGGCGGATGCTGTTCAGCAACAGACCAAGCCACCACAGGAAAGCATTAATTTAACCACGGTCCTCGCCGGTTTGCCCACTGCTCAATAGCAGCATCAAATATTAACAAGCCTTTATGTCCACAACTCCCGTTTATGATCCCTCTATCGATGCAAGAGTCCTTTAGCACAGGGAGAAGCAATGTGCATTTAACAAACCTGAGCAAATGTTATTTGCTCAGTTGTATTTACACTACCCTCCATTCATTCATGCAAACACTTCAAGTGGTTCAGCAGGTCTTGTGGCCAAAGGTTTCTGCAAGTAACAAGCAGAGTCATCCCAAGCCTCTGACCCTGGGGATTTCTGTTATTCACTAGATTTGGAAGGGACTATACCAGGGCACAGCCTGTCCAGTAAGGAAGCTGATAGAGACCCAGCTAGCAGGAAAGGGCTGAAAATGCAATGAAAAAAGCTCAGTACGTGCAATACGAATGAAGAATTTAAAAAGCTTTGAAAGGAAAGAAATAGGATAGGAAAAAAATATTTAAAAACTGCAATTATGGATACCCCACCTTCAATTTGACAGGTAATAGCTTTACATAAGACAGGCCAAAAAGAAATGGGTGCTTTTGAGCAATTAGGTCCCTAAAGTATTCTGAGGGACAAAAGCAGAAACCATCCCTCCAAGGAGGATGGGGAAGCTTGATCAGAGACCAATTTGGCTAGGGCACAACCTCTTCAGGAAAAAAAGGCAAAAATCATCTTCTCTAAGAGAGCCAGATTAAATAGTCTCTCCTGAGAATCTACTTTCTGCTATGGTACACTGACTTAAAATACCATTGACCCTTCAGTATAATTATGGTTTAGCTTTACAGGTGGCAGGGAAGTATCTTCCCTCCAGTGATACAATTAAGAACTTTAAAGCAGGGTCTCCAGGGGAAGCAGGAGCCAAGGCAAGGGCTCTGCTGTCAGGGGACCCTCCACACATGCAGTGCAAATTGGCTCTACAGGACAAGCACAAAAAGGGTCACAAAGCCAAAACCAGCTTGGTTGCACACCCCACTTCTGCTGTGGCTTTGCTCAGTAGTTGCTTTCATCTCTCCATCTACACTTAAGGCCTGGAAAGTACAAAATTACAAGGCAGAAATCCCTTTTTTAGTATCAGAGACCAGTGTCATCTGTTACTCTGCTTTACCACCTAAAAACAAAGCACAACTTGTCTTTGCGAGACTTTCCAGTCCTATCATTACTCCCTGTGCTGGATGAGGAATGAAGAGCACTGACCAAGTGCACATATTTTCTCAGCAGGGCAACCAGGGACTAAGTCTCACTTAAGTCTGAACCTAAGTGAGTACAGTCTTTTTAGCATCAAATACTAATGTACTCATTAAAATCTGCTATTATTACACTTCTGTGACTAGGTCAATGCATGATAGGTCAGTGAGACAGAACATGACACCATATAGGAAATAAAATATCAAATATATTCAAGGACAAATTAGCACCATATTTTTGGCCAGTCACACAGAGCTAAGGTTTTAAAATATCAATGGGAAGTCACACCGAAAAACAACTGATACTAGCTCAGTGTGAAGGACAAAAAAAGCAGCATTTTCCTAGCATGGTGTGCTCTGCTCTGCCTGAAGCTAGGAAATAGGGAGTAATTTCAGTACTGGGATCTACAGAATAGGGCTGGTATAGCAGAGAAGGAAGAGGGCAATAAAGATCCTCTTACCTCACTAAAGTGTTCTGTCAAATCAACAAAGAAGCTTTAAAAAAAAAAAAAGATGAGCAATAGTGTCGCAATGTAACAAACATCACTCATTGAAATTCAACTCTTTAAAGATTTTAGTCAGTTTTACAGGGATTGTTTTGATCCCAACAGCTATAAAATACATCCTTTAAGGAAGGAAAAAGCATTCCCACACAGCTCCATCTGCTCCCAGTGAAAGGATGTTTCAGCAGCAGTCAAACATCTGGGCTGGCTTCCAGATAACACAAATGGGCAGGTCTCTTTTATTCTCAGAGGGGATGAGCTCCAACTGTCAGAGACCACTCTTATCCTGTGCTCAGGCCCATCCATAGCACAGAACTCCCAGGTGAGCTAGCGATGCCCACTTATCCCCCCTGCCAGTTCAAGCCTGCAGGACAGTGCAGTCCCTGCCCTGGAAAGGCCAGATGCCTGTGCCACAGCTAAGCCTCCAGGTGCTTAGTGATCCTGCGAATTTTCTCCTTCTTGTTCCTGTTTCCGTGTTTTTTCCAGGGCTTTCCTACCACATTCCCAGGATTGAGTGTAGTCACAGGCACGAGGCCACTGCCGGGCCGGTATCCCATTGCAGCCCGGACCCCCTTCATCAGGGCACGAACGTTCTCCTGGAAGAGGAGACATAATCAGCAGTGACTGATGTTTCCCACAAGGAACTGCAACATGTTAATAATACCAGACACAGGCAAGCTCAAACCCATCAAGACCTGCTCAACCCCCAGAGCTCCAGAGTTGCAGGAAAGGTCACACCATGCAGCTGAGTCAAAGCCTGCCAGCAGGCTCCAGCTCTGTCTGCAGCCATGCCTTGCTGCGCCAGGTCCTCAGGGTCTACCACTACAAGCAGAGGCAGAGCACTGACGGGACACCGAGCTCCAACAGACATTAGCTACAGTGCTAGGATTGATTCTGAGTCTCTGCTTTGCATACCACAAATTGTCTTTGCAAATAAATCTGGCATCTGTGACAGCCAGAGACTAAAATAACTTGCTCAAGTCTGGAGTCTGGGTAGCACTGCTGGGGCTCACAGCTCGTGACAGCACTTTGGGCAGCCAGAGGAAGAGTCTGGTAATCCCAAAAATTCTTTTCACATCTTAGTTTTCCAAAACGCTCACTGTTTTTTTGAAAAGGGCCTGAATTCTTGTTTCAAAACACAAGACTATCTTTAGCTGTGCTGAAACAAATACTGTTTGTATCCAGCTAACCAAGCAGAATGGATCACACTATCTGATCCATTCTCTTCACTGCTAAACACCCTGCTTTGATCCTTGTCAGGTATGCAGACTTAATCAGTTATGGGTTTGACATTTCATTACAAGTCATTAATAAATTTTTTCAGTAGTGTAGGGTCAAAACAGAACCCTCCATGAACTAACAAGAAGCACAGAAGTTAAGAGAAACTCCCATTTTCCACTTTGTGAGATTTCTCAATTAGATTTTAAATCACGGTCTTTTCATCTGATTTCAGATTCTGAGTCAAAACCATGCAGTACTAAATCAGTTGTCTTAATGCAGCATATCATGACCCTTTAATATGTCATCCTGAGAAAGTAAAGTTAGTTTGAAGGACCTGTTAGTCCAAAACCATGTTCCTTGTTGGTTGTCTCACACTCCAGCCTCCTTCCTTGTCTGTCTTCCCAGTCACTCTCCTCTATGCTCAAGATTGATGTTAGGCCCATGATGATGGGGGTCACCCCGCTGACCTTTTAAAAGTCGACTATGCACACCTCATTAGCTATCTTTCAGTCACCTAGGACATTCCCAGTGATTTAGGAGATAATAAAAAGAACAGAACACTCTCGGGTAGAAAGTACTTGCAGATGCCAATGACATATAACACTATTAACTCAACCCAGTACTCCTCCATCCTCCAAGCTATTTTTCCAGTAACTATGACACACCAGTGCTGCTGTAAAAACACCAGAATTTACCTGGTGGAAAAATGTTTTGTCCACTACATTTTCAATTTGTTTTGCTTTGGTATTCTTCTCAGGCTTCACCTGTCCACTGGCCTGCACGGTTCTGCTCTCTGGACATCTTTGATGCTGGTGCTGAAAATCATTTGGGTCAATGCCAGGAGGTGGATGGCAATACAGCAGTTTCCCCTGTGAAAGCAACAGAATACAGTTACTACCAGAAAAAACCCCAAAAGCCTCAGAGATGCCCGGAGAGGAATGAAAACACTCCAGAGCTAAGAGCAGCGCTGGATGTCCAGGGGCTCACACCACCAGACTATCAGTATACTTAATTTCTCCTCCCAGGCAACAACTGGCTTGATTTCTAAGTTAAAGGGCCATTCAACCTCTACTTCAAAGCACCATTTCCAGCTATGAACACAGTGCAAAACTCCGAGGAGTACTGGAGGATAATATTAAGAAATACTCAACAATAAGTTGCTGAGGTGCTGTAGAAGCACACAGTATTATAACACTCAGATCTACAGTCTTGAGTGTCAAATACTGGTCTAACTACACACAATGGGTTTGTTTCCTGAATATCTGCTGCCTGTTTTAGAGATAGGATAATTTATTTAGCTGTCACCTTATTTTTAAGCAATCATCTTTTTAAGAGTAACCAGCTTGAGAAATTCCATTTATTCTTTTAAAACATAAAATTAGCCCAATTTAAAGAGTTTTTTAATATAAGGCAATTTTATCCAGAGATATAGAATTCACTTCATTGTATCCTTCATGCTCCAGTGAAGCCTTCAATTCACCACCTAGCAGGAAAGAAAACCCAGATGTAAGTAGAACTTACATTGACATAGTCTTTTAACACATATCGAGCTGATCTCGGCTGATCTGGCTGTCCATGTGCTGTCATAAAGCCTCTCATATCTAGAAGACAAATCCAAAGTACATTCTGTGTCAGTTCAACAAGAGAATTAACACATTCTTCTCTGCTGCCTAACTGCACATTTGTATCCTTTCTCAAAAATACTCCCTTAGAAAAACGCTTCTGTTGGGGAAAGCAGGGAAAAAAGGGAACATTGCTGACTGTAGAGGGACTGCATAAGCATCTGAGCCCGAGAGGAATGATGAGAGGTGACATCTGCCTATCACCAGAAAACCTGCTGGTTTTTTATTTTTATTTTATATTTTAAGGCCAGAGAAGATTAACTGCATCAGAGAATCAGACAGGGGAGATAAACCTTCACTGCATTCTTCAAAGTCTAATTCAAGACTCAGTTGATGGAAGGTATCTGAGATCATCACACCACACTACACAGACTGGCAGGGCACTTCAACATCCTCAACACAATCACTAACGTCCGGCAGACAAAACTTGCAAAGCACGTCTACAACACACACACACATGAGATCAGCTGTTAACAAAGACCCTTCCTGAGAGGCAGGGGCAAGTCCTAATGGGGAGGTTCAATGCATGACAAACTGGAGGTGGGCCTAACTATTTAAAGTTCTCCTAAGGCTGTATTCAGGACCAAGCACACAGCATAGGCAATAGGTTTTAAAGGGATCATCACTCACATCCATATGCTGTTAGCAGCTCTTCAGCTGTTGGCTTTCGATCTGGATCCTCATCTTCCCTTGGCCTTATGATATTTATTCCATAGGTTGCTTCCAAAATGTTTCGTGGGATATGCTGGCAAACGTAAGCTAGTGAAGGAAACCACCTGGTGATTTTCAGCTACACAAGTAATCTTCCCCTAGTCACTTCAAGAGCACACATTAAGAATGACTTTGGATTTTGTCACAAACTAGAAAAATGAATGCAAGTCTGACAAGACAAAATTGAAATGAGATGGGGAGAGACCAGCGTAGCAGGGCTGTTTTATCCAATGCGTGTCCCCACTGCCCTCAACACATGAGCACGTGTGCCCCTGTCAGGGCTGGAACGTGCTGCATGCATACTCCAGATCCAATGCTTGCAGACACTCTCACAAACCCCATGCAAAGGATATTAAAGAAACAGGTGGGACATGGTCCCTCATCTGGTCTATAGGCAGAATTCCAGAACAAATCATTTCTGCCTTGGTAGAGATGAAAGATGGCATCACCAGACCAGGGCAATCACATAGGCACAGGCCAGGCTCCACATACAGCGTCTATACAATAAATAACCGATGAGTTCACCAAGGCAAGTCAGTGTCCATGGAGGTAAAAGGGAAAAAAAAAAAAGTCAAATGCATAGATGGAACAAGAATGCAAATGAGAATAAGCAGAAATTCTACTAACAGAGACATCTGCCCTGCTGGCCCCAGCCAAGGAATTAAGGAAATCCTATGTGGAAGACAGCAGAGCACTTCCAAGGTTCATAAATAAAGTGTCCAGATGGGGGCAGCAAGATCTTCAGCTCTCCAATCTGATGGGAGAGGAGAAAGCACTCCAGAAATCTTTACCTATGTTGGACCTTTTAAAACAGGTAGGAGATTGCACAAGTACAAATCCCTCAATGCTCATTATAGGATTGGAGTTCCTACCTCAAAATGAAGAGCTTGATCTATATGAAAATGGTTGCTGTGAGTGTCTAATTATGCCACAACTGCAGACAAGGATGGTTTGAAAGCTTGACATTAGCTATTCAGAGGAGTACTCGCTTCTCAGAGGTTCTCTGCTCATGACTGGTGTTGAAAAAAGAAAGGCCAAGCTACTTAAATAAAATCAGGAGATGGAAAATATCTCTCATTGCACAACAGTTCTCATGAGCGACACTCAAACTGTAGCAAGAGTCTGGAAGCAAGAACTATAGTTCCAAAATTATATACCCACCCCTCTCCAGTCTAAACTCTACTGAGTCCACTTAGTTACAACTAGTTCATAATGAAGCTCTCTTTCACTAGGGGAAATAAAAAATAAAATTAAAATAACAACGTTTTTTGTTAGCAATACCTGAAAGTGTTTTGTACGGCCTGGCGTAGCAGACACTGACACCTTCTTATTTCCAAGGATTGTGTTGATGGTTGAACTTTTGCCAACATTAGGGTAACCCACCTAGATGACAAAATGGAATGGTAACGG